AGAGAGAGAGAGAGAGAGAGAGAGAGAGAGAGAGAGAGAGAGAGAGAGAGGCAGAGCCAAATAGAGAGAGAGAGAGACGGGGAGTGAGACAGAGAGAGATGAGAAAGGGAGATAGAATGAGAGAGAGAACGCACCTTTTCTTTCCTCGATTTACAACTGTTGTTGGAAACAAAGGCCCCGGCGACTTGGTTGATGATCTCAAACCGCAATACGATGACGCGTGTCGCGACGCGCGAAAAGGGAGGTGCCGACGCATGAAAGGGCAAAACCTCGAATGGAGACGTGGGAGATTGCGACACGAAGGAGACGGCGAGGGGAGGGATATGGCGACGAGGGAGAGAGAGAGAAGCGAGGCGAATGGCGGGGGAGACCGCCACGAGATGGTTGTGTCCCTCGGCGACGAGATGGCTGTGTCGCTGGCAAGGGCAGGTGGTCCGAGCGCGCGACGGGCATTTTCGCCCGTGAGGGTTGGCGACACCTGCGATTGCCTGCTGCTTCGGACGATTGCAATGCCCACCTGCAAATTCGCGGAATGGCGCCACCGTCATTCGAATGGCGGATACATCCGAGCGGGGCCCAAGAAACGAAAGTGGGCGGGAAAAGTCACGCCGGATGACGAGTTCGAACCGTCGATATCACGGTAAAATCCGCGCGGTCCCCGATATTCAAAAGTGGGCGGGAAAATTTGCGCCAGATGATGCGTTGGGACCGTCGATAGCACGGTGAAAAAAGGCCAGTTCTCTCGCAATCACGGCCCGCCCTCCCGCGACGGTTTCGGACCGTGCGATTTCGTGAGGAGGGTCCGTCAAAAAAGGGACCGCCTGATGTCACAGCCCCCGACGCGGCAGTACCTGCGGCGGGCAGCTGAAGGGCCCCTCAAGCCCCACTCACTGCACTCTCCGTTCTCATGTCGGGCACCAAACGAATGGGGGTGGCTGTCACACCCGTTCGCTGGTGTCATTTCTTCCGTGTGCTGCCTTTGCGACGCGTCCGCCATCGCTCGAAGTCGCCTGCATCATATCGCAGGCCCCTTGCGCACCAGGCCCTCGTTCTTCCAGCAATCGTCGATAGCCAAGGGCGCTAACGAAAACGTCACGCGACTGTAGACCTTGCGCGTCGTCACGTTCGCGCTGTGCTTTCTTGTGTTGGTTGGAGGCGTTTGTCGACTCGTAGGTCAGTAAGAAGCCCACTCCCCCTGCTCGACCCCTTCACCATTTCAAGCCCCCACCTCTTCCCATTGCCCTTCCGCTCCTTCGACCGTGCAAGTCTTGTTCTCTGCCACCACCTGCTCCGCCAATCACGCGCGCACGATCTTGAGCGCACGACGCCCACCGATCACAACGACGGAAGACCCCATGCAGTGACACATGCTGACGTCATCATCTTGTAGATGACGTCAGCGACGGGCAATGGCTTACGGTTTTCACAATCATTGGCCTCGAGTCTTGGCGTCCTCAACATCGCTTGTTTGCATCCTCAACATCGCTTGTTGGCCTCCTCACCATCGCTTGTTGGCGTCCTCAACATCGCCCTCTAGTCTTGGCGCCCTCCGTCGACCGCATCTGACGCGTGGAGAAAGTCGCATCGCCCTCGAGTCTTGGCGTGCTCGACATCGCTTGTTGGTACACTTTCTTGGACCCTGACTCGCGGGTCGTCCTCCCCTAGTCTACTTAGGATATCGCAATGCAGTCGGTCGTGCGAGTATTCTTCTACATCACCGCCTGCTCCGTCTATCACGCACGAGTCGACATGCGCGCGATCTTCAGCCCACGATGTCCGCAGCTCACAACCACAAAAGTTCCCTTCCACTTACACAAGCTGACGTCACCATCTTGCGCATGACGTCTGGAATTCAAAATAGTCTGCGGCTTTCGCAGTCAAGATCGTCGGACGCCTCCGATGACCGCATCTGACGCGTGGACGAAGTTTCATCGTCGTTGTTCCTCGGCGTCCTCAAAATCGCGGTATGTGATCACCGCTGCGATAACACATCACCCGATAGACGTCAACACCAGAGACGTCATCTGAAAAACGCGTGTCGATCGACTTTAAGATCCCGTCCATCCATCTCCGGTGTTGACGTCTATCGGACGATATGTTATCGCAGCATTGATAGCTGGAAGCCTCACGACAAACGCGCACCTCCAACAGGAATCGCCCGTGTCGCACTCACAGCCAACAGTGGCCAAGCCACCCATCCACAACGTTCAGCGACGACCCGTTGCGCACAAAGGATACTCATGGCGAATCCGAAACATCCCAGACGACCACCGATCCCGCGACATCCCACCGCCAAGTGCCAACTTCGAGCTCGTTTCCGATCGACTCGGTGATGGAACATGTCTATCGCGGTTGTGAACGACATTATGATCTTTTTCTTGTTGTCTTGAATGTTCCCTGTCTCATCGCCCATTCTCGCACACGCAGCTAGCAATGAGGAACTGCCACGCAACCGGGCGCGAGACGCCGGACACGCATCGGCAACATTTTGGATATGGAACTAGCGCTCACAAGTTCCATCTCGCCCACAGGAAAACTCCACAGCACCGCCACCCGTACGGCAGCCCGTCCCCTTGCCACGATTCATTTTGGGCGAACTCTGACGTGGACAATCCTCGCGACGATGCATTCTCGA